AAACGCATATTGTAAAAGTTAACTATAACCGAATAAAAGGAGCCGGCCAAGAGGCCACCTTAACACCAAAAAAAATAAAAATAAAAATAAAAATTACAATTACAAAATATCAAGCAAAAACAGTTTAAACCTCTTAGCATTATTGCTAAGAATTGCCTATACAGCTACCACTACTATCTTTTCTTCTTTTATTTTTCTATTGCTGAAAATTACATATACAATTTTCCTGATTTTGATTTTTTGACTTCTTTGATCATTGCTACTTTGATTTTCACATCTTTGATTTTAATAGTAAATATGATTCATCCCTTTTTGTTCTCTGTTCTTGCTATCAGGTTTTCCTTCTTATTTATGAGGACTATCTACAAATCTGAATCTATTTGCTCAGATAATAGTGAAAAAATCAAAGGTCGGCTATTCACAAATGATACAAATTATAAAGAATCTTCTCCAGTTTATAATACTACGAAAAATATTATAAATTCATCGGAATGAACATCTTTTATCATTGAGAAGATCTTAGAAATTTTGAAATATTCCCTTATCGTTGAAATTTCATATAAATCCCAAATTTCTTGTTCTAATTATAAACTAAGAAATAATGTAATAGACCAAAATATATACTCTATGTCATTTTACTGTCGATCAAATAGAATTGAAGTTGCCAAAATAACAGAAAGTTTGTACTCTCTTCATAATAATCAATTTTATAAAGTGCCATCTCCTGAGAATCTTATTATAGGTTTGCATTATAGTGGTTACTCTGCTTCGTATATAGAAATTGAATATTCCAACTATTTATATTCCATATTTTAATCCTTACAAAATACGTCGACCCTCAATTCTGAAGATTATAAAACTCCAAATGAAAATTATATATTAAAACAAGATAATTATTCTTTGGCTATAGAAACCACTATTAGTAATAAAATAAGTATGTTGAATGATACAATTATCAAAGCTAAAGATATTTGTGATTCAGTCGAAGAAGGTAATGACCTTTCAGAAGAAATTATAGATATTAATGATATTCAGCAAATAATAAATGATACAATACATGACATAAATGGAAAATGTAAAGAATTTGAAATTCTTTATTTAAATCCTATCCGCCACAATGTCAAAATCTTGTTGGATGAATTTGAAAAATTTAGTATTCGATTATGTGGTGCCTATGAAATCGGAGTAAAAGAAGTTCCTTATTCTATAGAAAATAAAATAAAATTTCCAGGTCGACTTCCAAATTTAATTATGACTAGAACTTAATTATTTACGAGTATATATATGATTCAAGATCTTAATTAACTTATAATTGGTTTAAAATATTCAACTTTGTTAGCTTGAGAGACATGCACATATCTTTTTACTACAATATATTCCATTTTATCGAACATCAGAAATGTTTGTGATCTGTAGAAACTGTTATTCAGATTAAGGTTATATTATTCCTTTGGGTTTTGCTATTAAATACTTTACTAAAATCGTTCATTTTTGTAATAGCGATAAAATATTCTCGATCTAGTGTATATTATTATAATATAGGTCTCTAAGAGGAAGGTTTCATAGCAAATCGCAAATTTAGACAGATTTAGTTTCTTACTAGCACTATTAACAAGGTTTTTTGACAGAGTGTTGAAAATTACTAATTTTTTATACTTGTCAAAAAACCTTGTTAAAGCCTCGTTAAAGTGCTAGTAAGAAAATAAATTAGCTTAAATTTGCGATTTGCTATGAAAACTTCATCTTGGCGACTTATATTAATATACAATAGATCGAGAATATTTTGTCACAATTGCAAAAATGATTTTAGCAAAGTAACCCTTTCAAAATAACGAGGCTCGATCACTTTTCCACTTTATCACGGGAATTCTTTAGTACGAGATGACTGGAGCTGATAGTATTTGATAAGTTCATGTGATTTTTTTTCTGGACAGAATTGCTGATGACATTTTTCATAACAATTTTCTCTCAGGCTTTTCAATATTGAACACTGGGTTTTAAGGTATTTTATTTAGTCAATTTTATTTATTCATTCGAATAAAACCTTCTTTTATTAAATATTTAATCCTTTTATTTGCAAAAATTTTACTTCTTTATTGTAAAAACGGTTATACCAAAAAATTAAACTTTTTAAATTATAACTATAAAAGAATACAATTTTTGAATTTATATTTATAATAAAAAAAATGAATCATTAGAATTCCTAAATTCAATAATTTTTTGTGTCGGATTACATAACAGCTCTAAATAATCTTACTGATGCGAAATATTAATCAAACTCAGAAAAATTATTATATTTTTGATATCTTCTATCTAGGTGGGCGACTATATTTGACTTTAATACGGCATGAAATATTAATCAAACTCAGAAAAATTATTATATTTTTGATATCTTCTATCTAGGTGGGTGACTATATTTGACTTTAATACGGCACGAACCTATCGTAATCTGAATGCCCAAATTCATGACCTCCAGTCATTATTTCAACAAAAAAGTCATATATCGTTTGTACTATTATATTCCAAAGTCCAGCTTCATCGACTCCAAAAGTTTCATGAACAATTGGCTCATAAGGATCGGTATACAAATATGAATGCTTAAACTTTCTGATCCTATAAAAATTCGATAAAAATTAGTTCAAACTTCTATGTACCAGTTGGAGAAAGCCAAAAATATACTTACCACCAAATTATTAAAAACTCTATAAGTAATATAACAATAAGAATGTTATGACATATACTGAATTTCACGAGCGATTTCCTCGTATGTTCAATATATGACAAAAAGAATATCAAAGGAAATTCAACAAATTTCTTATGAACAGCCATTTCAATACGTTTACAAAATGCTTCTACGTAAAAAAAATTACATATGCCTTATATATTTTAAAACAAATCGCGTACTTACAATTGAGTAACAGATCAGCATTTATGTTACAAGTTATATTAATCGTTCATTAACTCTATCATAGAGTAATGTGCATATTAGTTCAGAGTTTCATTTGAATGTTTTGTAAAAAAAAAAAAAAAAAAGGTAATACAAATAACCAAGATTCCAAAATATTTAAACATTATCTGTTCAATCATATCAATTATTTTGTCAATTCTTGAAAAAAAACGACCTTGATCACTAAAAAAAATGAAAAAGACTGGCTATTATGAAGTTATATGAATTCAAAAAATTTCTCGGGTAATGCAAACCATAAGGGCGTCACTTTATGTAAGTCCTTTCTTAAGGAATGTCATTCGTATTTGATTTTGCATATTTACGATTTAGATGAAAATGACCAATCGATTTTCTAGTTTATCTGGAGTTTTAATATTTTTTTGCTTTAAGCCAGCCATTATTTAAACCAATTTATTATTGATTAAATCATCTTTTGTCAATATTAAATATTTTATATTTGAGAAAATTTTTATTCATTATTTATTAGCTACCTCCCCAATTGTTGTAATTTCTCCAAATTCTTTACATTTAAGTAATAAATATTTTTAAAAATTTTTTCTAAAATTTTTATTAGAGTGAAAATTTCAAATAGTTACTAAAAGTAAAAAGTCACATTTCCATAATGACGTGACAATATTATTAATAAAAAAAGTTCAAAAATATTTCCCATCTAAAATATGTTATCGTCAAATTTTGGCATTGTGTATGGATAATACGAAGTTTATGAAGTTTATGTATTACATCATTATCTGTTCTTATTAAAATAACATAATGTAAATAAAAAAGATTGTTTGCTGGTTTTACAAAAAAAAAAAAACCTCCGTCATATTAAAATGTAAACATAAATAAATTAATGAAATAAGCTACGGATAAAAAATAGGTTTTCATTTTTAGTGAAGCTATAAGATTGAAAGAAATTTTAATTCTTTTTCTCTTGCTGAAATATCTTTGGTCAAATGATCAGAAAAGTAAAAATTTTGTTTTTATGTAAATAAAAAAATAGAATTTCCCATTTCGTATTTTGTAACTTCCTCCAGTGTTTTTGCATTTATTTTGCTTGCTGAGGATTTAGTTGTTTCTCCACTTCCGTTTTCAGCTTTTAAAATCTTTTTTACTTTGTCATATATTACATGATTAAGTTCAAACGTTGTAGAGTAGTTGGTTTGTTTATTTGAATATTGCAGTATAATTTTAGCATAATCAGCTTTTGTTTGTTTACTTGATTGTTTGAGATTATTTTTTAATATGATAGTATTCTCTATCTTTCCTACAATTGAAATAGTAAATCCTTCTGGTCTATTGCGTACATGAATTGTAGATTTCTTTTGTCTAGGCATTTTTAGTGAAGCAATTGGTACAGAATTGAATTTTGTAGAATGCGAAGATTTTTGGACGAATTTAGCGTCTATTTGGCATATAACAGTTGTTATATGCCAAATAGACTCACACAAACTCATGTGATTGACTTGTTATTTGCTAAATTCTCATATCGGAATTTTAAAAATTTTATTAAACGACACATAACGTTATTAATTCTTTGGTTCTTTTAAAATTCTATTGGACGTAAAACTATTTGAGATTGTAAAATTGTCTTGAACAAGGCACAATATTATTAGATATATTGTTCCCAATGTCAAAAGAAGAAAAACAAAGAACAATTCACGAAAAGCATAAAATGGCTTTGTAATTTTTCGAAGAAATTTTACTGCTGCTTATTGGATTTTTGTAATCAAGAAAATAATATAAAAGTAGTCTCAAATACGGTGTCGGATCGCTTTTTCTTATTTGTTAAGCCTTTCATTTTTAAATCCTTTTATACACACTATCATTACTCTAGTTTGTCGCACACGTGTTACACTCCCAACCAAGATCCCAGACCATTGAGTTGCTGGTGCTGTCTTGTTCCCCTAACCAAGGACTTATTCGCACAACTTTTGTGTGATAAAACCTTCTTTGACACCACTGTCACACGTAATGCCAACACTCTAGAGTATTTTTTGCCTCCAACCAGACTCGAACTAAGGACCAAAACCAATATTCTGTGGAGGGTTTGGTAGCTTACGCTAGGCTATTGAGCCCAAACCCTATTAAATAATATTTAATAAATTTTAATTAAGCTTATTATAATTGTATTTAAAATATTGTATAATAATAAACTATTTTTAAAATAAATGCTTTTTATTAAATAAAAATACTTAAT